TATCTAAGCACTTTTTAAAAAAACCTGCATAACATTAATTCCACACACCTTCCCATTATTTGTTGAAACTAAAATAAATTCTGTAATCCTATAACTACTCAAAGTCCTTAATTGCATGTTATAATTGCAACACACACTTAGTAACACTTCTGAGCCATGATACATTACACAATCTTATAATTATACTAGACAATTCCAGAAGCTCCTTGTTCATATTTTGTTTAATATTATAACCCACACATTACATGTGATTAAATAAAATTCCAGAAACTCTTTTTTTTATTTTAACCCTCCTGTTACATTAATATTCAGATCGGAGTCCATATTATCATGGTAATCCAAATATACTGCTGATCTCCTAGTTTAACTGTATCCTGGTTTAGCTCTCTTAGTTTATCTGCATTATTCAAGCTTTCATAGAGAATCATGGAGATAGAAGAGACTTGAAGGCAGAGCTGGCTCTGCCATTAGGCAGACTGAAGTCCTTAGGCAGAAGGCCACAAGGGGGCAGTCAGTGCCCCACCACTAGTGCAGAAACTGTGCTGGTATTGGTGTCAATTTCAACCAAAATTGGATGAGATCTTGCAGAGCTCACAAGATCTTGTATGATTTTGGTGGGATCTCACCCAAATTAAGCAAACTCTCGTCTGAAATTCGTACTTATGTCAGTGCCATTTTTTTGCCAGTGGCAGAGGCAGCAGGGCTGGCAGAGAAGTGGCACCATAATCAGCAGGTATTGGCAGCAGGGCAGGACTTGCTGTTTTGCCTCAAGCAGCGAAATGGGATGCACCACCCCTGCTTGGAGGTTGTTAAGTTCAACATCATTTGGAGAGATAACAGGTCTGAAAATTAACAAAGATAAAACCAAGCTCCTGGTAAAAAACATGAATGATGAGAGTAAAAATAAATGACAAAATATATCAGGTCTAAAGATCGAAAAGAAGGTTAAGTATTTCGGTGTATGGTTAACAGTGAAAAATACAAATCTATATAAAGATAACTATTTGAAAACCTGGGAGGATATGGGGTAGAATAAAACTTTCGTTGCTGGGAGGAGAGTCGACCATAAAGATGAATGTATTACCAAGAATGTTGTGTTTTTTTCAATCAGTACCAGTGATCGGCAAGACAGATTGCTTCAAAAAATGGCAAAAAGGTATTTCTAAATATATCTGGCAAGGGAAAAAAACAAGAATAAAATATAAAATACTGATAGACACGAAAGATGGAGGAGGTTTTTCCCTGCAGGATATGAGATTATATTATGAAGCATCTTGTCTGTGCTGGTTGAAGAAATGGTTGCTATTGAAGAATCTGCATATTTTAGATTTGGAAGGTCATGATAATATTTTTGGTTGGCATGTTTATCTGTGGTATGAAAAAGTGAAAGTACGTAAAGGTTTTACAAACCATATACAGTGGTACCTCAGGTTACATACGCTTCAGGTTACATATGCTTCAGGTTACAGACTCTGCTAACCCAGAAATAGTACCTCGGGTTAAGAAATTTGCTTCAGGATGAGAACAGAAATTGTGCTTCAGCGGCGCAGCAGCAGCAGGAGGCCCCATTAGCTAAAGTGGTGCTTCAGGTTAAGAACGGACCTCTGGAACGAATTAAGTACTTAATCCGAGGTACTGCTGTAATTTTGAAAAAATGCATAGAATATGGGACAGATATAAAAATTTATTGGAAACTAAAACACCACTTTGACTTTCACCTTTGAAAACCATAGCAGAGACCTGTTAAATTGTAATGTTAAAGTCTAAAATGTATAAGATGTTATTGGAATGGGAGACAAAGGATGAACAAGTGAAATCTTCAATGATGTACTGGGCAAGAGATGTTGGTCATAATATAGAAATGGAAGCATGGGAATGATTATGGAATACGGATATAAAATTTACAGCATGTTATGGTTTAAAAGAAAATTATATGAAAATGCTATATAGATGGTACCTAACACCTAGTAGGTTGGCAAAAAAATGTATAAATCAAAGTCAAATAAGTGTTGGAAATGTAAAGAGAAAGAAGGCACCTTTTTCACATGTGATGGTATTGTAATAAGTTTAAAGCTTACTGGGAAATGATATACAGTTGTAGCCTGGTTCTCGAATGTAATCCATTCTGGAAGTCCATTCGACTTCTGGAAACATTCAAAAACCAAGGCGTGGCCTCCGATTGGCTGCAGGAGCTTCCTGCACTCAAGCAGAAGCCAAATCGGACATTCAGCTTCCAAAAAACGTTCGAAAACCAGAACACTAACTTCCATTTTTTTTGGTGTTCAGGAGCCAAAACGTACGAGTACCAAGGTGCTTGAGAACCAAGGAACGACTGTATAATTAATTCAAAAAGATGTTTAAGTTAACATTCATAAAGAAACAACAACAACAAAAAGAAGCTTTTCTCTTGGGAATTATAGGATTAGAACTACCCAAGCAGTATAGAAATTGATTCATGCATGCGACTACAGTTGCAAGAATGTTATTTGCCCCAAAGCAGAAGGATGAAGAGGTCCCGATGAAAGAAAATTTGAAACAGAAAAGAATGGCGCATACAGAAATTGTGAAACTTACAGGAAGAATAAGAAATCAAGACAACAATTTTTTTAGAAAGGAATGGTAGTTGTTTATTGAATATTTATAAGCTTTTAAAATATATATGAGATATATACTAGAATAGACATATAAAAGAATAAGTTAAGACAATTTGGTGCATGCAGGAAAGGACCGAAATAAATGAAAGGAACTGCAGAGGGGGAGGGAGTCGAAACTGAAAATGTTTAAACTTGGCAAAATATGATGTATATAAATGAAAATTATAAACTCCTTAGCATCATACATTCACCCCAAAGGCACACTCCTTCAAGCTGCAGTGGCACAAGGGAAAGAATGAGCAAGGCCTTTGGGGTAATTCAGCTTTGGTACTGAGACTTGCATCTTGGCTTGAACATGTAGGAAACTCATCTTGGGCATGCCAAAGGTGGGGACAGGGTAAACTGCTTAGATGCAGAACTGGGAGTGTGCAGGAGGAGAAAGAGGAAGGCCTGAAGAGTTCTAATAGGCAGGAAACTTGATTGAAGTCTGGGTGAGCCCCAGCTGGCAACCCAGTTAGACTAAAATACCAGTTTGGTGTAGTGATCAGATGAAGCATTTAAGAGCGTGTTTCCATGGTGAAAGTGCCACTGGCAGAGTTTAAAGCCCTGACCCATGTCTAGAAAGCACAGGGCAAAAGCTAAGCGTGGATGAGCCCTCAACCATGAAAGATCACTGGGTGACTTTGGAGCAGACACTCTCAGCATAACCTATTTTGTAAAATAGCGGTCAATTGCAAAGGTGATTTGGATATTTAAGCTGGCACATCCTACCTGAGCACCCCTTTCTATTCTATCGTATGCAACAAATAATTTTTAGGAGACGTGATCGTGGTTTATTGTATCTGCAGTGCCTGATGTTTTTATGGTTTTTATTGCTTTTCTTTTTGTTCCCTTTGTGAATGATGCCATGGCCTTTGGCTAGGGCAATAAAGTTTATGATGATGATAACCTATTTTGCAAGGTTGTTGTGAGAGTAGGGTTGGAGGAGAAATTTGATTCAAATTAATGCAAATTTAGAAATAATTTAAATACAATACATCTCACTCTCCTGAAGGCATCTGTACTCTGTGGCATGTGTGCCCATGTAGTCTGCTGTCAGCTGCTAGTTGCTGATGAGCAACTTCAGCTCCCTGCCCTCAGTTCCTCAGGTTATCTTTATCTGTTTAGGGAAGTTTTTAATGTTTTATTGTGTTTTTAATATTTTGTTGGGAGCCGCCCTCAAAGTGGCTGGGGAAACCCAGCCAGATGGGCAGGGTATAAATAATAAGTTGTTGTTGTTGTTAACTGGATTTGGTTTGGAGAGCCCTTCAGAGGACTGGAAAGTAAGGGCATATGTCCACCCTGCCCTTGCTTCTTTTGCAGTTTCTGTATAAGCATGAACTTTTATCCAATTCAAAGAAAAATCCATTTTTGTGCTTTAAAAAAAAAAATCATTTATTTATTTATTTAGCCTTTGCTAAATAACCATGTCTACTTATCATATAGCAGAAGGTAGGGGATAATACATTTTCTATGATAATTTTTCCTCCCTAGAGAGATTGAAATTTAGTTTTGTAGGAAAGTTTTTCTAAGCAAGAAACAATGAGCAGGGGAGACATTAGTCACCAAAGAAGAAGGTAAAGTGTTCAGGCTACTATTAAGTTCCCTCAGCTGGCAACAGTGACAATTTTGGTGAGAGAAGAGTTGTAACATCCTAGTCACTGAGATCCAAAATGTAGATAAAACAGGCGTCTACAGCCCATTCTGTTGCGAGGACTAATACTAATCCCTCTACTCATGGAGATCTAGAACATATATAAAATGGGTGTGAACAAGTCATTCTATTGCTGTGACTACTAACACCTCCTCAGATGTATCAGTTGGAAGCAGAGCAAGAAAGATGCTGCAACGCTGGAGCATTAACGAAATGTAGGTTTCACTCTCACACAACCCAGACACATTTGCTAACTAAAGCAAAATAGGAAGATAAGAGGAGCCCCACTGGATCAGACCAACCAGATGTCTAGGGGGCGCCCACAAGCAGGACATGAGCACAACTGCACTCTTCACACTTGGGATACGTAAGCTTGGGTCGCCATTATTCCATCCTGAGACTTCTCTCTCGATCTGGATAGTATTCAGCAAAAGTGCACAAAGCTCTCATTCATAGATTTATTGAAGAGAATCAAGGCACAAATAGAAATATTAATCATATTCCAATAGGATGAAGTTCTCTTAGGAGTTCATGGGGTTATGTAAGAACAAATGAGTTCGCCCTTCTTTCTAGGTATGCAAGCACTAGACCAGGGGTATCCAAACTTTTTTCAAAGAGGGCCAGATTTGATGAAGTGAACATGCATGAGGGCTGACCAAAGTTGCTGAGCTTTTTTTAGGATTGAAGTTGTTGACCTTCTTTTACAATCCCCCCCCCCCCCCGGAAATTAACTGCCACAGGGGCTGGATTAAACCGACCAGCGGGCTGGATTAAGCTACCGGGCCAGACTTTGGACATGCCTGCACTAGACTGAAACAAAAGAAGAAGGGAGTTATTTTACCGCTCTGGGAGGCAGACCCAATAGGAACTAGAATATTGCTGTGCCTACATTTCTCAACCTGCCTTGAGGTTTAAAAAGTGGGGAAAGGCACTATCTTTTCTAAAAGGGGCAGTGTTGTTCTTCCTTCTACCTAATACTAATACACAGATAAATAGCTGACCCTTGTGGGGGGCAGAACAGTCATAATGCTGCTGTTGTGACAGATCTGATGAAGTGTGCAGTGCACCATATTACCCAGTTTCATGGAAATGGTTTTAGCTTTAATGGCCCAAGGATGTGGACAAGACCCTTGCAGCAGTTCAGCCAACTCCATGCTCTGTTGACCCTTGCCCATCATGGCTTATTCTGGCTAGCCAACAGGGGTTGGCTGGGTGGCTGAGAGTGTGGTTAATGCATCATTAGACAAGAAAGGTAATGGTGTAACTACTCCTTTAAAAGGGGGTCTATGAGAACTACTGCCTAGTCACTACTACCTCTTTTGGAGGCAACATGCTCAATTCCGATGCCAAACCATTAACATCCATAATCAACAAAGTTGTGTCCTGTTTGATCCTGATATACAGTTATTGTCCTGTCCAGTTATTTGTTGCTACTGCAACAATGGGGTCACAGGGCTTTGGCCTGCAAACTCTACTACTGATATCTTTCAGGATGTAATTCATCGCCTAAGAGAGCATATGTAATCTCCTACGAGCTGATAAAATAAACCATAGCAACAATTTTATTCAATAAATAAGCATTCCTTGTGTTCTTTGAAAAGCACAAACTGATAAACATCTGGTTTTAAACATCACAAGAAATCTGTACTGAGTACTTGTGTATGAACAGCAAACAAAGAAGAAGAACTGTATTCGGCAACAGAAATTGATTTAGCAATGTATTATATCGTAGGTCTAATGCAACTTTTGATAGAAGTTCCGCCTCAGAGCAGAACCGAGAAATTTATGGTAATAAATAGGCTGCTCAAACTGTGTTGATAGTTTATGATGCCCTGCTGCGAGGAATGGCAACGAGTTTATAAGAATGGGGATAGGTTGTCAGTCCAACTTTGTGCTGTTCACTGGATTTTTTCACACCACTTGGCAGCTGGAAGATGAACGCCCTCAACAAATTGCTGAAGAAAATGAAGAGCTCAATTCTTGCAAGCTGCTCCTCCAAGCACACAGAATCCACTGTGGAAGAAAGAAAGGAAAGGCAAGAAATTAGTAATGCCTATGGAGCCTTATTCTCCAGGTACATCTACCATAGACAACAACTAGTTTTGACTCTGGGTAGGGAACACAGGTTGGGAGGTGAAGCTCCTTTGCCACTACCCAAAGTGTTCCATCAGCAGCTCCCCTTGTTATAACTCCTGCTATCTCCACACCTCCTTTTTCAACTTTGGGCTGCCATGGGGGGGGGGGGAGGCTTGCTTTGGCCCACAAGCTCATAGAATCATAGAGTTGGAAGGGACCACAAGGATTGTCTAATCCAACCTTCATGCAATGCAGGAATCTTTTGCCCAACACGGGGCTCAAACCCACGACCCTAAGATTAAGAGTCTCACGATCTACAGACTGAGCTATCCACCAGTAACTGACGGACCCCTGGTGTATAGAAATGTGAAAGCAAATCTATACTGATAAGCTGGGAGACTTGAGGCCTGAAAGCACTATGAGTAAAGACTCATAAGAGTAATTCAGTGCCCAACGATCATGAGCAGCATGACCCCAAAGCTATGAACAGCAAATAATCATGTATTCTTTGGAAATAAAAACCTTACAGAAGCATCTGCCTCTCTGAAACAACCCAGCAACTATAAAAAAATAAAAAGTAAATCACTGCTACATTTACCTGAACCAAATAGCAGAAATTCTCCCCTGGCCACAAAATTCCCATCCTTGTCCAAAAAATGATTTGGGTTGAATTCTTCAGGGGTCTTCCATTGCTTATTATCAAGAACAGCAGAGTTCAGATCTGGGTTAATAAAAGTTCCCTGAAATGAATGAAAATTGACTTAGAATGCATCCAGACCAGCGCTATTCAGGTTGTCCCTCTGTCCCAGGACAAATCTTTGTGCACTTCTTATATACCCAAGCTTCATCTGCGTGGTAATAAAAAGCATATTCAGGGAGATTGCCAAAAAGCTAGGGAAGAAGAGTTCTGTTGTGAAACCACTATGGAAAATATTTCAGCAAGAATAAACTGAAAACATATTATTCGCTGTTCTGTTTCAAATCCTCATTCTTGAATCTGGCACAGATGCTATGGCCATCAGTGGAACCAAATGAAGAGAGTTTGGTGTTAAGGCACTGTTCATGCAGTTTTTCTTTTGAAGAATGTGGGGCAGGACAGGAGGAGAGTTATTTTAGAAAGAATATTAACCCTGGGTCACTGCAATACCTTTTTTCAGGGGAAGGGTTATTGAATTGCTTGCCCTTCAGTCTATGCATATATTGAATTGCTTGCCCTTCAGTCTATGCACAGAAGCTTCTGCATTACTCCTTACTCATGGAATATGGAGTACAACCGTATCAATTTTCCTTACCCTGGGCATGAGAAATCCAAAGATGTTCACATCCTTTGCATATTGTCTGATGATCCTGAATAAGGAGGCATATTTTAAGCGTTGGATCTCGTGAATCACAGCACTGGTGAATGGCATTTTCTTCCAATCTTGATAGCAGACTGACCGAGAGGAACCCAAAACACCTTCCACCTCCTTGTGGACTTTCTCTGATGAAAATGGTGGGAATGGAAGCTTTATTCTGGACGCTTTGCTAATATTGCCTGAAATTGTGCTCTCTTTTTTGTATTGCTTCTAACAATTACGTTAAAGAAACCTGAAAGGCAATTGAGCTATGGGGTGAAGTGGAAAATCCAGGCATCTTAAAGGAAACTCAGTGGTGCTGAAATACGCTTCAAAATATGGTTGTGTTCCTATGGACCTCAGTTCCCTGTATATGCAGTTGGATTCCACTTTGACAGAACTGACTATAGATAAAACAGGGTTTTTTTACATACAGTCCAAAGCTTGGAGAAATTGGAACCATCTCATTTTCACAATTCCTTTAGTCAGAAATAGAAATGGAAGTTGGAAACTAGAGGGAGATTCTGCTACAGGGTGTGGGGTTGAAGGGGGGGAGAGAGAGAGCTTGAGTCAGAAAAATAGAAGAGTGGATCTTAGTTTACCTATCCTGAGTAAAGTGAAGAGAATTTTTTTCCCATTATCCCAAATCAATGGACATAGGAGCAGGTCTGTCTGTGTTATGTACTAAGCTTGGATCCTAGAACAATAGGCAAGTAGGATCCTAGAATGCAACAACTGATTGGCCTGCAAGAGAAGACCAATCAGGCTCCAGGAGGGAAGCAGAATCAGCCAATCAAACGCGACTCATTGTGTAAATAATGTATATAAAAGCCTGAGGTTTGGGGGGAAACTCGGTCACTGTTTTACAAGCTGCAATAAAGAGCTTGAAATCACTGCAGGACTCCGAATATATTTCAGTCTGGAAACTCCAGAACCAGGGCAAATTGCAGGGGACCTGGCAAAAAGGAAATCTGAGCTATCCCTCTTGTTTGTACATTAAACATGGCCTGTTGGTTCACTGTTAAGATTCTTAACTCAGCTGTTTCTCCATACGGACGGTTGAAAGTAGATAGAATCTTGTCATTTTTCTTCATATTTCATAAGGCCTCACACCCTTAACCAAAACATTGCTGCATGAAAGGCATCGCACAGGACTCACCTTGGATATCTGGATGAGTTGCCATGAGGAGCAGCGCCCACTGCAGAGTAGTAGCGGTTGTCTCTGTCCCTGCTATAAAGAGGTCAAGTATACACTGGGCCAGGTTCTCCGCATTATAGACAGAGTTGGGGTCACCTTGGCTCTGTTGATGGCAGTAGAAAGATGAAAGATTATTTGTAACAAATTGCATCCTGGCCATCCCAGCATGACAGGTGAGCATGAAGAAATCCTTGCATGCAGTTCTGTACCTTAATTAGTAATCCCACATTGACATTGAAGGGGTGGGTGGGTTAAAAAAGGGACATCTCAGGCATCTTCCTAAAACAGCAGACAGTAAAGCAGCAGTTCTTCCCAAACATTTTGAGATTATGAGGAAGTAAGTGTGGAGTAGATTCATGCATATCAAATCTGGGTTGCTGAGGATCTTTATGCACACAACTCCCCCTCCCCCGCCAATGTGCTGGGGAAACAGGGTCTTCTTTTTGCAGAGCCGTGGAACAGAATGGAAGTAGGAAAAATGAAATTTCTTGTGTTTTAGATTAGTTCCTTGTAAGGTTAAGACATCAGTGTTTTATTCTCAAAGCCTTTTCTCTGGTTTTGCCTGAACTAACTTTCGATTTGGATCCCCCTGGACCCTATAAAGTGGATTCTGGGATCCATCTTTCTCAACTTTCCCACTGAGCTCACAGAAACCTGTCCCTATGGAGCTCTGCTTAAAGATCCTTCCTCCCTTTAAATTTTTTAGAACTGGTGGGAGTTCTAAGTGGAATTTGAGTTAAATAATAGATAAATTTGCCACTCATTCTCATTTTCTCAACCTTAAGTTTGGTTCGCCACATTTCCTCACTAGTTTGCAAATTTCTTTTTTTTTAAAAAAAGTTCACATGAAATTCCATCAGCATCTTAGTGCTAATTTCTCTTAATAAATAAGTGTAATTTTGCCTAATGTGCACTTTTCTGACATTTCCCCCCCCCACACACTAATATATACATTTATATACTCACTATCCTAGTATATGCATTTTTGTACACATTACTTTGCTGAAGAACTGCACTGTAAGATTCAGAGAAGTGTTGATTTTGAAGTAGGCTGCATTTCAGTTCGCTTAAAGGGAAAGTCAAAATTGTAAGAAATAAATTCACATAATCAGGGTGAATAAAAAATATTATCTTTTCTGCAATCTCAGAACATGTTTTAATTTGGAAAGGAGACTAATCTTTAGTCCTTTAAATATCATAATTACACAAAGAATGTATTTGAATACCCTTGACCATTCAAGCATATTTGCCATCAAACATATGAAAAAAAATCTTTTATTCTTCTCAATGCATGCGCATGTGGGGTTTGTAATCCACTTTACTAGCTAACAATAATCTCTGGGAAGTGCCATTGAGGGGGGACTGAATGCAAATATTATCAGCAACCCAGAAAATCCTGGTGGTTGCCTTACAATCCTTGCAGGGAATGTAATGGCTCTTTGAATTAACCATGTTCACATACAAAACAGATACTTACTTTCTCCATTTGAAGTAGATAGAAATCAGTGAAATCCTGTGGCTCACGTAGGAGATGATGTTCTTTATGCTTCTTCATCTCTTCCTTTGCAAATAAAAGCACAAACTCCCTAGAGGACAGAGCCTTCTTGTGTGGCCCTGGAAGACGCTTCAGGACCCAAGGGAACATTTCACGGAGCTTTGAAGAATATAAAAACAAAATCCAATAATTACCATGAAGAAGCCAAGTAACATGTTCCATGACCCAACTTCTTTTGGACGCCTGTTTGTTATCATGGCTGAGATCAGACTCTCCTAACCTGCTGGCATCCCGGTATCTTGGAGCTCAGTGAGTGAAACACCTTTTTCTGATTCCCATATCCACCAGTTTACTCTAGTAGAAGTTGTAAATGAAAATTTGGCATCAGAACAAATCACTCTCTCCCATATTTCTAGTACTATAGTAGTTGTGGGAACACTGGTATTTGTGGCATTCCCAAAACATGCAAATTATATTTATTAATAATATATAAGAGCAGGATTTTATTCTACAGGATTCCCATTGCATTTGGGCAGTACCAGCACTAACCCATAATATCTTTATGGCTGTCTAACGAACATACAGAGAACCTAATCCATTTACCCTGGATTAATTCAGGATTATGAGGATGTAGGGCTGCCTAATATGGAAGGTATCACAGCTTCCCTCCCTACCAGCAATCTTGCTGCCCATCTTCCACCTCCAAGGGAAGAGAGTCAATGGAGTACTGTCCATTTCCTAATCTCTGGGTGTTATCCTTCTCCTTTTATCACTTTCCCGGAAGTTCACCTGCAGTATTGCAAAGCAATAAACTTGGTTTAGCAGATGGAGGAAGATGACATTACTTTTGAGGATGTCTCCTCCGCACTAAAGACAGGTGAGGCCTCTGGATGCACTATGGCATTTCTTGTCTCTGAGCTCCTCCCATCAGTCATTCCTCCTCTGGTCACTGCTGTGGATACACGACCGGACGGTCTCCAAGCACTGTGATCATCTGCAAGGGATTCCTACAAAAGGTGTGTGTGAGAGTGATGTTGCTTGCCTTCATGTCTGATGTTTGCAGATATCTTTGTAGCACAGAGTTGGTCTGCCAGATGGCCTGGTGCCTGAAGCCAGCTCCCCACAGAGCACATCCCTGGGGATTCTGCCATCTACGTACATGACCAAGCCAGTGTAGACGTCACCAAGACAGGAGTGCAAGCATGCTGGGAATGTGGGCTTCAGATGCAGAGTAAATTGGAATGTGTTGTTGTTGTTTAGTCGTTTAGTCGTATCCAATTCTTCGTAACCCCATGGACCAGAGCATGCCAGGCACTCCTGTCTTCCACTGCCTCCCACGGTTTGGTCAAACCAGATCCCTGGTTTTTCGCATTCTATTGTTTTCGTCTATTTCTTTGCATTGCTCCTTTAAGAAGGCCCTCTTGTCTCTCCTTGCTATTTTTCAGAAATTTGCATTCAATTTCCTGTATCTTTCACTGTATCCCTCGCATTTTGCTTGCCTTCTCTCCCCCGCTATTTGTTAGGCCTTGTTGAACAGCCACTTTGCTTTCTTGCATTTCCTTTTCATTGGCATGGTTTTCGTTGCTGCCTCCTGTATAATGTTACGAGCCTCCATCCATAGTTCTTCAGGCACTCTGTCCAACAAATCTAAATCCTTAAACCTGTTCCTCACTTCCACTGTGTATTCATAAGTGTTTAGATTGTATCTTAGTGGCCCCGTGGTTTTTCCTACTTTCTTCAGTTTAAGCTTGAATTTTGCTATAAGAAGCTGATGATCTGAGCCAGTCAGCTCCAGGTCTTGTTTTTGCCGACTGTATAGAGCTTCTCCATCTTTGGCTGCACATATAATCAATCTGATTTCGATGCTGCCCATCTGGTGATGTCCATGTGTAGAGTCGTCTCTTGTATTGTTGGAAAAGAGTGTTTGTGATGACCAGCTTGTTCTCTTGACAGAACTCTATTAGCCTTTGCCCTGCTTCATTTTGAACTCTAAGGCCAAACTTGCCAGTTGTTCCTTTTATCTCTTGACTCCCTGCTTTAGCATTCCAATCCCCTATAAGAAGAACCTTCTTTGGAGTCATTTCTATAAGGTGTTGTAAGTCTTCATAGAATTTCAGTTTCTTCAGCACCGATAGTTGCTGCATAAACTTGGGTTACTGTGATGTTAAAAGGTCTGCCTTGGATTCGTATTGAGATCATTCTATGATTTTTGAGGTTGCATCCCAGTACAGCTTTTGCCACTCTTGTTGACTATGAGGGCCACTCCGTTTCTTTTACGGGATTCTTGCCCACAGTAGTAGATATGATGGTCATCCAAACTGAATTCACCCATTCCTGTCCATTTTAGTTCACTGATGCCCAGGATGTCGATATTTATTCTTGCCATCTCATTTTTGACCACATCCAGCTTACCAAGGTTCATGGTTCTTACATTCCAGGTTCCTATGCAATATTTTTCTTTACAGCATTGGACTTTCCTTTCGCTTCCAGGCATATCCGCAACTGAGCGTCCTTTCGGCTTGGGCCCAGCCGCTTCATCAGCTCTGAATCTACTTGTACTTGTCCTCTGCTCTTCCTCAGTAGCATGTTGGATGCCTTCTGACCTGAGGGGCTCATCTTCCAGCATCATAACTTTTATATGCCTGTTGTCTTTGTCCATGGAGTTTTCTTGGCAGGGATACTGGAGTGGCTTGCCGGTTCCTACTACAGGTGGATAATGTTTGGTCAAAACCTTCCACTATGACCTGTCCATCTTGGGTGGCCCTGCACGGCATAGCTCATAGCTTCTCTGAGTTGTTCAAGCCCCTTCTCCATGGCAAGGCAGTGATCCATGAAGGAGAAACTGGAATGTGTACATAGCCTAAGAATGATCATTAGTTAAAATTAACCCCATCTTTCCTTGAAAGAACCTAATGTATGGCTCTCAACTTTTTTCATATCTCTGTGAAATGGGTTAGACTGATGAATAGTGTTTGCCCCAAGGCTGAAGGGGCATTTCAGGTCAGGTTCCCTTCATCTGTGACCAATCACAGTGTCTCTCTGAATGCTAGCAGGAGGCTAGGGCTCTGGGAACACCTGTGTGACTCAGCTGGAAAGAAAAAGTCTACTTACAGCATAGATGAAGCTACCTCCACATTTTAAGGCAAGATCAATAGCTTCAGTGAGCTTCTGGAAATTTCCGTCTTCAGCAGAATACCGATGTCCAAAAGCCATAGCGCATACCACATTGCACACTGAATTAGTGATGGGTAACAAAGGGTCAAATGGCTGCCCTGCAAGTGAAGATTTTTGCAGCTATATGAAGTAAAGACATCAATCCTGTTCTCATGATAATACTAAGAGTAAAATTTCATAGTGGGAGTAAAGAAGAAATTTTCTTAACATATTAAAAAGCAACTAAAATGCATCAAATTCTGCTCCAAAATATGCATAGATTGCAAAGGAAACAAAGCAAAACCTGGAGACTAAGATATCTGCCAGCATAATCATTTTTATGATTATTATAATCATGCCAGTCATTTTAATGGTGCTTTTAATGGTTTTATATTGCTGTACACTGCCCTGACACTTTTTGTGAGGGTGGTGTTAATATAAATACTCATATGAACAAATAAAATCATCTAGTAGTATCACATACCTTTTACATGGGCAAAGGTACCCACAAGCTGATGTGCCTCCTCTTTTATATAGTGCTCCAACCCTTGCTTCCTCATCGCCAGCTTCTTCATAACAGACTGCCCAATCTGTCTCTGCTGCTTCCAGATGCGTTCATTGGAAAATACAAGATCTGAGACCATTAAAAGTATTGTATGAAATGCCTCTTAGAGATACGATATTCAAGCCAACTATTCACGGAATACAAAGACCCAAAACTCTCTGCCATTTGTGGAGACGATGGTTAGCAAAGTTTATGGCATAAGGACTAGCTGTTCTAAACAAAGTAGACACAGTCCTCAGCTGCACCTTGGTTTCTGCTGTCAATGTCTACCACCAAGGCTGTAACATTCACCTGTGGGGATTCACCTGGCTTTCGTTTTGAAATTAAAATTTGGAAAGCATGCATCTGGTGATGACTGTGGCGTCACTTGCAGGATTCTCACCCTAGCTGCACTTGACTTGCAAGTTACGAAAGTAACTATTGGACCTTGTCTCGTCACTGGAAACCCAAGGATCTTAGGGGGCACAGTGTCTTCCCCCAGCCCTGGTTTGTTTGGCAGCTATAGATGTTCCTCAAACAAGACTAGCCACAGAAATGCATGCTCTGATAACCTCCTGTTTGGATCGCTGCAGTGAGATCTGCTTGGAAATTGCAGCTAGTGAAATAGGCAGCTTGGCTATGAGTCACTATATTAATATTTTTTTATAAATTATAATAAATTATAATAAACTAGTCAGAGCCATGTTACATCTGTTGTGAAAGAATTGCATCGGCTACCGAAACATATCTGATCCAAAAGCCAGGTGTTACGAATAATCTAGAAAGCATTGAATAATCTAGAGACCTTTCTCTGTATAGTCCTGCCCTTGAATTAAGACCTCCTGGGGAGCCATCCTCAGCATTCCACCCAAAGGTACGATACCTTTGGAAATAAGGCATGGGTGGGCTTTCTGTGTGTTGGCACTTGAGATCCTCAGCTCCCTAGCCCATGAAATTCAACTCCCTTTTGTGTTGCTCTCATTCAGATGCCAGTAGAAAACATGGCTTTTTATGAAGGCTTTTGGTAACTAATATTCAGCTGAGAAATGTTCACGATTTTGGGCTGGGTGTTATTATTTTTGTTGTTTAATTGATATTGTAGCTGATTGTGACCTGCCCTGAGATCTTCTGATTATGGGTGGAATATAAACAAAAAAAAACCCTTCAGTTGTTAGGGATTCTATCACAGGACTGGCTTAAGGAAGCATTTCCCAACTTATAGGTCATGACACACTTTTGTATTTGGGTCATGCCCTTTATAAATGAACCCGAAATAATTACTTTTAATATTTAACAGGTATGATGACTACTACTTATACCTTGCAATTAAACCTCTTACAACCTTCAACAGAACATCGGGAAGGCTCAGGTCTTACATTTTAACACTTGGGAACTGCTCTCTTAAGATGTCTCTGGAGAGAAGACCAGTAGACTTCTTCCTTGGAACAACTTACCCTTTTCATTTGCTACAGCTCTAAGGAAAGGCATCACAGGTCGCTCCGTGTTTCCATTTTGTTTTGTCCACTGCCATTTGGATAAAAAGAGAGGAGAGACATTAGTCACACAGTTCTTTCAGGTTAATTTGTGAACTTCAGGTTCTCTCACCTAGTCTGTGTCTTCTGGTTATATCCAGTTCTCTTTATTCATGGCACCAAAGTAGGATACATAATGGTAATCTGATTTTTGATACAGTGCATATCCATGCATGCTTGTAGGCCTGTTCCATCATACGCTTGCAAGGTTATTGTCAGTTTCTGCATGGCTTTATTCAAAAAGCAAAGGCTCTTCCATGGAAAACTGCCCCAAGTTTTCATATCCTTATTGTGTCTGCTAACCTGCTGGTCTGTTCATGTGGGCTGGGTGTTTTTAACTGGAAGGCAGAATAAGATGAAACGGTGGGGGAAATCATGTTTGGTGATGGTTGTTTTTAACAAATTCAGATCATACCTTTCTAAAGCAGATTTGCCGCAAAGGTCAAAATATATGGCAACCATTTGTATTTGTTTAATTTGCACAAGTAGGCAAATAGTAGATTGGGAAGTGGAAATCAAATCAAACTGTGATCCAATCTAAATCTGGCACACTCCTATTAGTTATAACAACAACAACAACAACAACAACACACTGATGATCCCAGTTCTGGATGTCCTGCCATCTCATCCAATGGAAATGGAAATAAAACCAGAAGGAAGAATGATTGCAGCAACATTCTGTTGGAAAACTTGCCCCCTCGGGAGAGGCTGGCCCCTCTCCCTGGCTCCCAGGGCTTGTTTACCGGTGATCTACCCTGGCTTGCTTCCCCGCAGTCCAGGAAGATCTTGATAGGCGACATCTCCCTGCGTGGAAGATGCACACCCCCTTTGCTCCTTGCATACCAGCAGGAGAAAGAAGAAAGTCAGAAAGTCTGTTTCATCTACGGTTTATTTCTGACTGTACAATTGTACAAAACATGTCCGATCAGTTCAGTCTCCTCCGAGCAACTGCGATAGACTTTCTTCACAAAAGCAACAGGAAGGTCTCATATTACACAAAGAACAAATCCCTGTGAACTGCCCTGTGAACTGCCTGGTGCATCCTTTCCCAGGGCTAGCCACATCATGTGATGTAAACATCGAGCTGCTTGTTTACAGTTGCGTAGTACTCATATTCCAACACATTCAGGGTTACAGCAAATTACAAGTTGTTCCAGTTGGAGCTGCTCGCAAAGAATGTAGTTGCTCCCATAGCATTAAAAGACACAGCAAAATGAAGTAATCAATTCACTTCAGTTGTGCCCGGGCTTGAAATCTAACTTGGAATATGAGCATTGTCTCACTTGGCATGGAGTATCACCTCCAACTTCTCAATTCAGCTTCAGTCTGTTTGACCTCATCCCTTCACCCAGGGCTTCCAGAGATTGTTTGAGAACGAGGCAGCCACACCTAAGTGCTTCAAATCTGGAGACGACGTAGACAGCCACTCTTCTTTTTGCCTGGCCCCACTGGCCCCACTTTTGCCTGATCCATCCAGCCACTCCTATCACTACCTGTATACCTGGACTGCTAGTAAGTCGTGAAGTTGTCTGGCTGCTCTTTAAATAATTTGAATTTCCCCTCCATCCCTAATCATCACATTCCCCTACTTTTGCTAACAAGACATTCCTCTGTGGGCTGCTGGCCATTTCCCCACATTTCCCCCTTCAAACCACTGTTTTGTACGAGCCTGGTATATCAGAAAACTATCTCGGGGGGGGGGGACTGTCTGTGTACACACAGGTGAACAAATCCATGTGTACATGCCCACAATGGACCTCAGGTTTCCAGAACTGAAGGAGGGTGGGCTACTGGTGGGGCCAAGTGAGACACACACTGCTTTTTAGCATACTGTTTTGTGCAAGTCTGATATATCAGAAAACTTGCATCTCCTGCCCCCCCCTTCATAAAAAAGGTCTGTGCACAGGTAATCAGCTACCTGCATACATGCCTAAAAGGGACCTCAGGTTTCTAGAATTCAGGGAGGGTGAGGAAGTACTAACTGAGGGGAGGGAACAACAACATACAGTGTGAATATATTCATTAAGAAGAGCTTGTGAGCTGTGCCAGAGGATCTGCTGAAAGGAGAAGTATGAAGACTTGGTTTGATGGCATAGCAGCATCTAGGGTATACTTTATCATGCATAAAGTGATGTTGCAAACAGATGGGACAGCACCCAGAGATGCCTCTGCTCTTTGTTTTATGCTGCCTACTTTGGTAACACATTTGATGTTTCAGCCAGCTGTGTGGTAGGTTTCTAATGGGTGTGCCTGGTAACATCACTAACTGGTAATTCATCTCCCTTTGGGGCCAACTGCTAGCAGCTGCTTGAGTAATGCTGGTGCAGCAACATTTTGAAACAGATAAATGCATCAGCACATGTGTTTATGAGCTTATATGCCTCCTAGCTGGAAGTTAAAGGGAACACATTGTTGTGGCTCCACTGGATATGCTTCTGAGTTGAAACAAACACACTGATCACTAGCTCCTGATAAATTGTTTAGCTTTTTTCTTCCCTCTTCTGAGTTTTCTGAGCCACTCTCATTGTACAACCTCATGTTTCATTGTAAAGTTTTCTGAGCCACTCTCATTGTACAACCTCATGTTTCAGTCCTAGCATGCCTACATAGCTAACCTTTCTTGTACCTTTAAATTTTTTGAGCAAGAGGGGGTTTGCCCATTTGGCATTGGTCATTCATACTGTGAATCGGATTTTAAAGTACCGGTATTTGCGCATTTCACTTTTTATCTGGGCAGCTGAAAAAAGAAGAAGCCTATTTATTCTCCAGTCTGAACTAAGCTATCAGATTCTCTGTCCCTGAATCTACCCACAAGTGTGTGAGAGTGCACTGGCCTCTGAAGACACTTCAGAGGTCTTTCTGTAACTCAAAGATGCTAACAAGAAGTCAGTTCTTGAGTGTGCCAGACACTTTCAAAATGCCTTTCAGGTTAAATTCATTAGAGTACCCAGCCCTGGCGAGATGCTTTTCTTTGATGACTTTCCAATGGGCAGAGTGTTGGACTGGGATTGGGGAGAAGCAGGTAGAAAGCACAATTCTGCCCCAGAGCTCACTGAGTAACCTTGGGCTAGTCTTTAGCTCTCAGCCCAACCGCAGGGTTGGTGTGAAAATAACATGAGTGCTTAAACTATCTGCCTTTGAACATCCGCCATGTCCTGGAAGACTGCACCTTTAGTCTCCTAGATATCACATACTGATTTCCCATGTACAATTCATGCCAGAAGATTTCACAAAGACCATAGTTAACCACCGTTACCACGAGAAGAAAATAATTCATGCTTCGCTTCATGAATTCTCCTTCCCAGCCAGTTATTTAGAAAGAAGTACCTTAGTGAATGTCTCTTGATAGAGCCTGATCGCAGTCCGCCACATGCTTCCAATGGCAGGAAGTGGAAGGGGCCCTGGAGGGAAGCGTCTGCGTGACCACCAGAGCTGTTTCAGGAAGTACAGAATCAAAAGACCCACCAGCAGAGCAATCAAAAATAATCGTATGCCAAACATTTTCCTGCCTTCTCTCTCTCACTCTGTCACTTGTCTCCGTCTAGCACTTCTGGCTGTGTAGGATACTCCTTCTCTGTTGGCTTTTAATTTACATAGACATATACTTGCAACACCCTTTTATACAGGACAATAAGGCTAATGGTCTGAGACCATATAATAATAGTTTTGGAATGAAACCTTCCAGGGATTAATTCAATGTGAACCATTTATTTTTATTGCACCACCAGTATGGTTAATTATAGTATGTGGAACTGTAATAATTGAAGGGAAGAGAATAACATGAAAGGCTGTCATCAGCCAACTGTGGGCTATCACGGGGCCAAATTTGTGCAGGAATATTCTGAAATTTTTATTATGTTTATAAAGTATATATGATGTTTCTATAAAGTATATATGAGGTCTTTGCATTCAACGTTATAAACTATCTTCCAACTCACAGATGTAAATTTCAGGGGGGGGGCTGCAAATCCACCCTTGAATTTCTCTCAGGGAGCTCAGCCCCACCCCCAGGCAGCAGCTACTAAGAAGCATACTACTAAGTGTGCACGAAAGCTCATACTAATAACAAACTTAGTTGGTTTCTAAGGTGCTACTGGAAGGAATTTTTTTATTTTGTTAAGAAGCATATTGTTAGAGTCGCATAATGAACTTGGTTAGAACAGCGGCTGCAGCAGCACAGTACTACCCCATCTCTCTGTTGTGTCATACTACAATTTCCATGGTCATCCAGGGGCACTGATCCTGCTTTCCAGTATTTGTTTATCTGTTTGTTTATTAAGAATTTATACTCTGCCTCACAAGATGGCTTGGCCCTTAAACTTGGCTCCAGGCCTGGCCCACCAATGAGGCAGAGTGGTGACACCGTCTTGGGCGTCGGAAGTCCCAGAGGCAAGGCATTGCCCCCCTGAACACCCTGCCGCCTCAATCGCTGGTGAAGTGGCGGCAGCATCGGTGCTGATTTCTGGTGAGATCTCACGAGATTTTGTCAAGATGTCGCTGGAAATCTGCAGCAATGCTGGCACTGCTTCTTCACCAGCAGTGGAGGCGAGTTAGGTGGTAAAGTGGCGGCAGGGTGCGGCAGCTCGATCCGTTATGCCTCAAGTGGCAAAACCGGGTGTGCCAGCTCTGCCTGACTCCATCCCCTTTATGTGGAGAAACAGACTGCAAAGCCTCAGTAGGGCCCAACAGACTGAAAACTGAAAAGCAGTCTGAACTAGGTAAGTCAAGAGCCTCCATAATATTATAGAATCATAGAATCTTAGAATTGGAAGGGACCCAAGTGCCACCCAGTCCAATCCCCTGTAATGCAGGAATGTCAACTATAGCATCCATGACAGATGGCCACCCAACCTCTGCTTAAATACCTCCAAGGAAGGAGAGTCCACAACCTCTCAAGGAAGTCTGTTCCACTATCGAAGAGCTCTTACTATCAGAAACTTCTTCCTGATGTTTAGTCAGAATCTCCTTTCTTGTAACTTGAATCCATTAGTTTGAGTCCTACCCTCCAGAGCAGGAGAGAAAAAAGCTTGTTCCCTCTTCCATGTGACAGCCCTTAAGATATTTGAAGATAGCTATCATATCTGTTCTCACATTTTAAATATAAACAAAGTATTTAACTTATTTCACAGGGACGATAACAATTTTATTACAGTTGAGGGGGTGGGTGTGTCTCAATCACCATGGAGAAAAGCAGAGACTATGTGATTTTAATGACTGTTTATATTACTGTAAGCTTTTGTACATCAGAGCCTACCTCCAGAGAGAGAGAGGGAGAGAGTTCCAAAAGATGACAACAGATTTCTCAATAAAAAGAAACAGACCATCATAAACAAACTATTTTTGGAACAAAAAAAAATATTCCTTCCAGTAACACCTTAGAGACCAACTAAGTTTGTTATTGGTATGAGCTTTCGTGTGCATGCACACTTCTTCAGATACACTGAAACAGAAGTCACCAGACCCTTATATATAGTGAGAGGGTGAGGAGGGGTATTACTCAGAAGGGTGGTGGGAATGGGTGATTAGCTGATAGGTGTGGCAAACCTGTTGACCACTGTTAACGACTGCAATTTGGTCTTACAAGAAAAAGCAAGGGGTGAGATGGCTAAAAATAGCTTTATCATGTATAATGAGATAAGAATCCAATGTCACTATTCAGACCAGTTCTCTCCATGGTTTTAAGTTTGGTAATAGAGTAAGCTGCAATTCAGCAACTTCTCTTTCCAGTCTATTTCTATTTTTGGGTTATTCTTTTTAGCCATACGCCATGTTGAAGCTAAGCTCTTTTGAGCTTGTTCTTAGTGGCTTTAAGCTCTGTAATTGAAATCTACCCAGCCTGATTCATCACTCATGCATCTGAGGAAGTAGGTTCAGGCTTATGAAAACTTTTACTTTAAAAAAGAAAAAAAGAATAAATACAGTTTGCCTTTAGAAGTGCCACAGATTCCTTGCTTGCTTGTTTTCCTGATAACATGGACTAGGAATAAGATTTGTTAGACTGATGCTTTCACTGGTGAAAGTACACCCACAACATCCTGCAGCAGAAACCTGAATGCAGCACTAGGAGAAATCCGCTCACCTTATCTGGTAGGCAGTGTTGTGGCCCAACCACAGGCCCAGCGGTGATCCGGCGAATGGCAAGGGTTGCATGGCCTGCCTGCTTGCGACTGGACAGTGCCAGCAGGTTTTGGGTGGGCTATCCCAGGGGTGGGCCCAGGCAGCCAATCAGCACCATCTGGGGGGTTAAATTGCAGCCTAGCCTGGCTCTCCTCACTCTGCCTTCTTTCACCAGATCTCCCACCCTTTAATTTTGCTTCAGTTTACACTTTGACCTTGCTATGGACATCGGCTGCCCTATTCAGGGCCAAGCAGGAATTTTTCCACTTGGCAAATTGGCACTGGCCATTTAGTTTTTGCCTACCTCATAGCAATCATCACAACTTTGTGAGATTAGGCATTGGGTAAGCCTTGGTCTTGGGTGGAGGGGAGGTTGTAGCCTCTGCCTGCTCCTCCATGGTTAAAGGTATCCTCTTAAAGGGATCTGTGAGCGGGAGCTTCTATCTGATGTCCAGGTGGGGGCTAGGGCCATACCATTCCTTCAGTGGGGACCCTTTGGGGGGTACCTCTATTTGATGTAGGTCATAGGGGGCCCCTGTGGTGGTTTACTTTTTGATACGGAAGGGGGGGGCATGTCTTCTTCACCTTCTTCTTCGCTACAATATATCCATTTATTTCCAATTGTCAATGTCAAAAGGGACTAAAATCTATAAAATTCATAGAAAATCAACATGCCAATTTGCTCAATTTCTCTAGGACTCCATGACACCTCCCCTGTCCTCCATAATCCCTCAACCAAAGTGTCAAGACCCTAATCCTGTCAAATCACTCTGCCAAGCCTTTCCTCCGGGCAATGCCAGGTGACAGAATATGCATACATGGACCATTGACTTCTCATCACCGGTACTCAGGAAGTGCTTATCTGCGCATATCTCCAGCTCTGCATATTCCCCCCCCTCCCTCCTCCATATGTTAATCCGGTGTAACCCAACCTCTCCTTAATGTATTCATGATGTAACTGGGATGTATTTTGCACTGTATTCTGGGACATGGAGGGAAGTTTCAAAAGTTCATGTCACCCCTTTCTCGCTGTTCAATCTCGTCTTGAACCTGTTGCGCAATAAACTTGGATCTTCTGCAGTTTGCTCCTGTCTCCGGCTGAGCTCATTTTCTTCCGCAGGGACCCGCGGACTTAGTCTGACGAGCTGGGTGGCAGAGTAGCCCCGCACCCAGATTTTACCGTAACACTTTTAGATGTGTGGGATGTAAAACTTATAGCAGTCAAGTACAACATTCCTGCAGTGGACATGTTAGGGGATGCTTTGTACCTCTCAGGAGAAAACTTCCTGTTTCCTCCTGAGCTGGGACAGACTTCCACTACATATGACTTGAAGAGGGAGTGGTCTATTGTACTAGCATGGAGGAGCACACAGCCTCCATGTTCTGATCAGTGTGTGTTCTCCATTTTGTATGTTGCTGTGTGTTTGGAGAAGTGATTGCTTAGCCGCAGTCACTTGGGACTAACTTCTTTATGGAATAGTTCTACTTGTTATGTAACCTAAGTCTGCCTTCAGGGATATGTCTGTGAACCTGAATGAATCTGTGGGTAAGCTACTTTTATATTAACGTTAATCAGATTCTTGTGTTTATTCTTTTGAAGAGGGATTAGAAGGGGTTTTACCAGGAAGGAATCTTTAATAGAAAGCTTAAGATGAGTCAGCAACAAGCTGATCGCTGCGTAATTTTAAAAGGGGGGTGTTTGGAACTCTGCTAGAATATGGAACTTGCTAGCACAAGTTCGGAAGGATATCATTACATAATATATCCTCTCCTGCCTCCCTAATCATCCCCACAAGATGCGGTGAAATCCCCACAAGCAGATGTGGTGAAATAATTTGGCTTCACCCAATGCCTATGCCAAACCATTCACATCTGTAACCAATAAAAGTTGTGGCCTTTTCAAACCCATAAACCTATAGTTCATGCTGTGTGTCTTGTGTAATTATTCACTCCATAGGGAACTGCTGAGTCATGGGTTCTTGGCATGCAAATCTCTACTACTTATTCCATGGCAGGAAACTTAGCAAAGGGAGAGGGGGAGTCTTCAAAAACTATGGCTCCTGATGTGAAGGGAAAACCAGGACAACAGTACCAAGATATTTGTGGGGAAAGCTGTAAGTGGCTCTTTAGTAATTTGGTAACAAAGCATACTGTGACATCTTTTGGTCTGCAGCAAATAACATGAATGTTCATCTTCAAAACACATTGAGACAAGGATGCATGCAAAAATTTTGTTCAAAATAGACATAAACAGATCTCTCAGGAAATTGATCTTAGTGTTATAGCTAATGACCTTATCCAGAGAGCACCAATGAGAAAAAAAATCATTCAGTGCAGAAGAAGTCTATAAATATCTGTAAATTGAAAACGTACAGTGGTACCTCAGGTTAAGTACTTAATTCGTTTCGGAGGTCCGTTCTTAACCTGAAACTGTTCTTAACCTGAAGCACCACTTTAGCTAATGGGGCCTTCTGCTGCCACGCCGCCGGAGCACGATTTCTGTTCTCATCCTGAAGCAAAGTTCTTAATCCGAGGTACTATTTCTGGGTTAGCAGAGTCTGTAACCTGAAGCGTATGTAACCTGAAGCGTATGTAACCTGAAGCGTATGTAACCGGAGGTACCACTGTACTGGGTTTTGAAAACCCTGTGTAGCTTGTTTGGATTGTTACATTATACAGCGATCATGCATAAAACAAGGTGAGTCAACGTAGTGAAATTACAGGTTTTCCACTAATCACGCAAATGAATGCTGCCTTTGGTGGGGGTGAAGTTAAGGGAAATTGGGAGGGATATCGGGGGGCGGGGCAGATACAGATTTTTTTCTGGATATGAGCGAGAAGGTGCTTGCAGGTGGAGAGGAAGGGGGATGATGGGATTATTTGACAGTTTTTTGAGAATTTTCAAAAAAATCGTTAGTGTTAATTAAAAGTGAAAGGTTGTATTTCAGCTGACTGTGTATCATTCATTAAAGCCAAATGTGTTTTACAAGTTGAAGCTACACAGCAGAAACAAACACCACTGAGTTTGATTGTATTTACTTCCAGGTAACCATAATTGCCCATTCATGGTTGGGGAGCCCTAAGCACAGAAGCAAAACTCTCAGCATTTCTCCCTTCTGGCTCACTGACAAGCATCCCGCCAGCCCACCTTGTCACCTGGATGCAGCTAACTGCAACCTACCTCATCCCTTTGAAGTGAAGCAACACAGCAAAGTGGCCATCTGATCATCATCAAGAACTCATCTGACTGGTGCCCCAACCTACCCCAAACTCATAACTGTGGAATGGGTTTTAACAGGCAAGAGAGAATAATTGCAATTTATCCCTCCAGGCACCCACCTGTGTGAGTTGAACAGAGTTTCAAAATCCCATTCTTGGCAGCAAATTTTAAAGCATGGGACTGTGAGCCTTTGTTTTGAGCAGCTCCAGCTATGAAGTAAGTTGGCTCCCCTTTCTTACCCCACTTATTAAAGTATCAGACAACAACTTGGAAAGTAAGTTTTAATGTATAATTCACGTATAATCTTGCGCTGGTTCACAGCAATGGAGAACAGGCGGGGGCGGGGCTGGCGCGCATCCTAGGGGCATGGTGCGCCGCCCACAGGGTGTGGCATAAGTCCTGGGGGCATGGTGGGGGTGTGGCACCCAGCACGGGGGGGGGGTGAGGCCACCATGACACCCCACTGGGATCACGCTGCCAGGGGCAGTGCGCTCCCCCCGCACTCCTCTTCCTCCACTGGGACTTCCAGTGGACCCAGGGCAGGGCTTGGCAGGTTTTATAAGGGCTGCTGCTGCTGCTGCTACTGCTTTTAAAAAAAAAATTTTAGTATTTCAACTGTTTTTAACTGGGTTGTAAGGGGACGCAGGTGGCGCTGTGGGTTAAACCACAGAGCCTAGGACTTGCTCATCGGAAGGTCGGCGGTTCGAATCCCTGCAACGGGGTGAGCTCCCGTTGCTTGGTCCCTGCTCCTGCCAACCTAGCAGTTTGAAAGCACGAAGTGCAAGTAGATAAATAGGTACCGCGTTTCCGTGTGCTGCTCTGGTTCGCCAGAAGCAGCTTAGTCATGCTGGCCACATGACCAGGAAGCTGTACGCCGGCTCCCTCAGCCAATAAAGTGAGATGAGCGCCGCAACCCCAGAGTCGGTCACGACTGGACCTAATGGTCAGGGGTCCCTTTACCTTTAAGGGCATTTGGTGGGATGTGCCTGGGAGGAGAGGAGTGGGGGAGAGCAGGGGGAGGCCTAATTACAGTAGTTCTGAGTAGGGGGAGGGATGGTGTGGGAGGAGGGGCAGGCCGGGTAAGGGGCACACGGCACAGGCAGTTAGTGACTGTGCCGTGTGCCAGCCCTTCCTCCAGCCTGGGGAATTGTGGTTGTCATATCAGCCAGACCTCAGGTGAAATATACTGAGTCGCAAAGTGATTTCATGCTCTTTATTCAGCTCATAGTGGTGAGGAGGAATGAATGAAAGTCCCCTCACAGTATCTGCTTTATATACATTATTTACACAATGGGCTGCACATGATTGGCTAATTCCGGAATTCTACTGTAAGCCAATCAGGTTGTGGATTCACTTCTATCTGGAGCATGATTGGGTGGTTCCTGCCAACCAGTCATACTGCTGCATTGTTCTAGGACCAATCAGACTGCTGCATTCTGAATCCTATTGTTCTAGGACCAATCAGACTGCTGCATTTTGGATCCTATTGTTCTAGGACCAATCAGACTGCTGCAGTTTGGATCCTATTCAACTCAGTACATAACACCCCTCCCCTCTAAGTTCCAGTCCTGCCTGGGAGGTCGCATTCATAGTCCTCAAGGTACACCGGCGGCCTACGTGTGCGTTGCGGCCTGGGGTGTTCCCTGGTCCGAGCTCCGGGTTCTGGCTCATGTTCCAAGGATGCTGGCTGTGATGGGGCTGTTTGGTCTGGCGCAACCGGCTCACTCAGTCGTGGTTCTGGTTCCGGTGTCCTTTCGGCCTCACGGGTCCTCTCTGTATTTACTGCTTCTGCCTCTCCTGCTGGCCCCTCCTGCTCTATGGGCCTCACTGCCCCGCTGTTCCCTTGGGACTCCTCTGACCTGTCCTCCTCCTGGTTTTCTCCCAGGAATCGTCGCCGTATCTGGTCGCAGTGGCGGCGCCAGCATTGCCCCCCATCCGTTAGCACCTCGTACGACACGGGGCCAGTGACCCTGGTGACTGTGGTGGGTACCCATGCTGGGCCTGCCCCAAAATTTTTTGCGTACACTGGGTCCTGGGCCTCGAAGGTACGGGGGTTCCTGCCTTCCCCCACCACTACCTCATACCTGAACTCTATCCGGGTGAAGGCGGTCCAATCTGATTGCAAGGCACCGACCCATTAGTAGTTCAGCGGGGCTCCGGCCAGTCGTTGAGCTGGGGGTGCTGTGCTAGAAGGAATGTGGCAAGGCGGTACTCCCAATCCCCTTGCGTCATGCGGCAAAGGGTGTCCTTGGTGGTCCGCACCATGCGTTCTGCTTGGCCATTGGTGGCAGGGTGGAACGGCGCCGAACGGATGTGGCGGATGGCGTTCTGCGCTGTGAAGGTTTGGAATTCTCCTGACGTAAATGCAGTCCCATTGTCTGAGACGAGAGTGTCAGGGAGCCCGTGGGTTGCAAACAGCCTGCGTAGTACCCGGATGGCTGCGGACGTGGAAGTGGACGGTACCAGTGCGACTTCCAGCCATTTGGTGTAGGAGTCCACCACTATGAAGAATGTTTTCCCCTGAAAGGGGCCAGCAAAATCCACATGCAGGCATGACCATGGTGCTCAGGCGGACTCCCAGGACTGGACTGGGGCCCTTGGGGGATCTGGGCGGGATTCTTGGCAGGCCTGGCAGTGTTTGACCCAGGCCTCTATCTCGCCGTCAATCCCCGGCCACCACACATAACTCCTGGCAAGGGCCTTCATTCTTACTACCCCTGGGTGTGTCTCGTGTAGGGCTGTGAGGACCCTTTTGCGGAGGGGCTGGGGAACAACGACCCTGCTTCCCCATAACAGGCACCCCTTGTGGGCCGACAGTTCATGTTTGCGGGTTGTGTAGCCGGCGAATTCTGGCCCGGGGCTGCTGCTGGGCCATCCCCTCCACACCCAGTCCAGGACTCAGGAGATGACCCTACCTTTCTTGGAATGGTGTGCAACTTCTTGTGCCTGAATGGGGCGGTCGGGAAGCAGCTCCAGGCTCATAACCTCTTGTGCAGGTGCTGGGTCGGGGCCTGTTTCCGGTAGTGGTAGCCTGCTGAGGGCGTCCGCATGGCCCATCGCCTTCCCAGGTCGGTGAATCAGTGCATACTGGTAGCTGGCAAGGAAAATTGACCACCTGAGGACGCGAGGAGACAGCACTTGGGGGGTCTGCTTTTCTGGGGCAAACAAGCCAAGCAACGGCTTGTGGTCAGTCACCACGGTGAAGGGCCGCCCGTACAAGAAATCATGGAATTTTTTTACTCCCTTCACGATTGCCAGACCCTCCTTGTCGATTTGCGAGTAGTTCCGCTCGGTTGCGTTGAGTGTCTGGGAAAAGTACGCCACCGGTACCTCTCTTCCATCCGGGAGTTGGTGCCCCAGGACAGCGCCAATGCCATAGGGTGAGGCGTCACATGCTAGCACCACCGGCAGCCTCTCGTCGAAGTGTGCCAAGACCGAGTTTGAGACAAGCAAGTCCTTGACTGCCTGGAATGCGGCCTCCTGGTGCTGGCCCCACACCCAAGGGGCCCGCTTGTCCAGGAGTCTGTGTAGGGGCTCCGCTACTGCCGCCTTGTGGGGAAGGAAGGATTGGTAAAAGTTCAATAGTCCCAAGAAGGCCTGAAGTTCAGTCTTGCTCTTGGGCGCTGGGGCATCACAAATGGCCCGTACCTTGTCCCCAGTCGGGTGGACCCCTTCTGCGTCCACCATAAACCCCAGAAAAGTCCACCTGAGGCACTCCTAGTAGACATTTTTCCCGCTTCACCTTGAGACCCGCCGTCTGGAAACGGTGCAGAACGCTGCGGAGGCGGTCCCCAAACTCCTCTGGTGTGGGCCCGGCAATCAACACATCATCGAAGAAAGGGGTGACACCAGGAATCCCTTTAAGGAGAGAGTCCATTAGATTCTGGAATATGCCTGGTGCCACGCTGACACCGAATTACCCTGAACGCTCCTCTGTGCGTCACAATCGTCTGTGCCTCTGCTGTGGTCTCATCTACTGGCAGCTGTTGATTTGCTTGGGCCAAGTCCAGCTTGCCAAAAATTTTTGACCCAGCCAGGGTGGCAAGGACATGGCTGACCACTGGCACTGGGTATGCGTGGGCCGTGAGGGCCTTGTTTATGGTACATTTGTAGTCTGCGCAGATGCAGACCGAACCATTAGGCTTGACGGGTATGACGATTGGGGTTTCCCAGGGGGCATTAGGCACCGGCTCCAGCACTCCTTGCTCCACGAGCCAGTCCAATTCCTCATCTATACGGGGTTTCAAGGCGAATGGGACCCGGCGGGCCTTGAGCCTGACCGGTCGTACTGCGGGGTCAAGCTGTAGCGCAATGGGGGGGGCGTATACTGTCCCAATTTCCCATCGAAAACCCCTGGAAATTCCTTGCATATGGCGTCCACGTCCACTTGTAAGCTAGTGTGGTTCACCCCGGTGACGGCTAGCCCCAGTGGTCCAAACCATGCCAATCCCAGTAAGCTAATGTAGGGGCCCTTGACCACAAGCCAGGTCGGCCCAGAATGAAATCTCCCTCCTCCATGACCTGATTATGAACGAGAGGGGTGATCTGGCGTGTATCACTGAAACCTGGGTGGGTGAACAGGGTGGAGTTGGTCTCACCCAGCTGTGCCCACCTGGGTACTCAGTGCAACATCAGGCCAGACTCAAGAGTCGGGGAAGGGGAGTTGCTGTGGTCTACAGAGATTCACTATCTCCAGGCTCTCTGTCCAGTTGGGGGGGGTGTTAGAAATTGGTCTTGAGACCCTCAAAATAAAATCTGAACAAAATTGGTGAAGTAGCAAAGACTTTATTGACTTTCGGGGTGGCGCCACCGGCAATGGCGGACTCCCTCTGAACTGGAGCGACTAGCTCCGCGGGAAACGGGTCTTCTCCGCTACGGCGAAGCAGGGACCCTTTTAAAAATCACAGGCGGATGAAGCCTGTGACCATGGGACTCGGTGGGCACCATTAGCGCCCCCCCAACCCGCTAAGGAACCCACTAACGGACTCCGAAGTGAAGAGGGGGA